AGATTTTATTTTAACATAGCTGTAGTGATTCTGAAATGCACCGACATAAGCCTAATAATATGACTTCAGTCTATAATATTGTAGATCATTGTTAGAGAAAATTGCATAACAGTCAGAACATGCTACTACCAATTCTATTTTCCAATGAAACACAGTCAGAACATGCTACTACCAGTTCTATTTTCCAATGAAAATGGCTCCTACTCCAACTTCACCAGGCTTTCCTTTAGAACATACATCAACATTTCACTTAAATTTATGGAGTTCAGATTTTTCCCACTTGATTGTTTAAATCTGAAGATTTTGTTTCACCTTTTTCAATAATGCATCAGATATTATCTATCTACTTCCTATCAAAAGTTATACCAAAAAATATATAGTATGGAACACTTTATAGCTGACATATTAATTACTTCAAAATTTGCATTACACTTTGCCTTCAATAGTTTTCAACATATCACAAAGGGAATGCATTGCATCATCACTTGTTGAATGCTCTTAGACTAAAAAGATGATGCATAACTTTGGGATGAGCAAAATGATAATTTTCCCTTGGTAGTTCCACACTTGAATGAGTCGAAAAAACTGACTCATCAGTTATAGTATATAATATATTAAACAAAAATGAAATCATAATGTAGAAAGAGGGAAATCTAAATCTTGAATAATGTGGAACCAAAAGAATTGGAGGGGAAAATGATAGATTGTAATCACTTTGATGTCTAAATACCTCACACATTAAAATGAAAATGCAATATAAATCACCGAAACACACAAAAAACATAGTGAACGTCATTATTTTCTCCCTCCAAGATTTTTTTGAGTGTCATTGAAATAATGTAGTGTAATTGTTGCTACATTTCAGCAACAATTTAAGTATAAAACAACATCAAATTCAAGGTTAAATCAGACAAGTTTGAACATTCCATAGAAGTCTACCAACTTCAGAAACAAGAAATACTCCACAGATGCAATTCATTAGTTGTACAAACATACATGAGATAAACAGTCAAATTTTAATGGTATAGGACATATTCTCTAAGCAATGATATTTCACACATCCCATGTATTCCATTATGATCTTTTCAGCGTGGCTATCAATCAAGATTCTCAATAACACTCCTATACAAAAATTAATCTGCAGATTAAAGAGACTTCAACAACAAAACAGAAGAACAGAACAAATAGAAAGGTGTACATGACACATCAATTTATAAGTAATTGAGAGTTGGGGATGGGAAGTTTTGAAAATACAGCGAGTCCGAAGTTTTTGAGTTCAAATAACTCATTTGAATCCTAAGGCTATATACAATGTCATCTTTTGATATTTCACTGTGTTTGCAAGAAAACAAGAATAGAGAATGGGGATCAGTAACATTGAGAAGATGATATGTTCCATATGTACATGGGATGTTTGGAGGATATTTGAGCCAAATTTGGCACTTAGCCCCCTTGGCCAATCTATCAGATTTCACAAAAGACTATTTTATATCCATTTGGATTTTCTTTGGTAAAAGACACTTACATATGAACAAACCGTCCTCTAAATCTACACCCGAATTTGAATACCGACATGAATGTTGGTGTGAAATCCGAACAACAAAAGTGTCTAGTCATAAAAATAGATGAATGTAGTCATTTCAATATCGATTAAGCACATTTATTGCAATTTAGCAATCGCATTTATGATTTATTCATAGAAGTGCAAATTTACCTTCCTTTCCACGACTGTGACATTACTCGTGAAGTTGTAGGTGACATCTTGATCAATTGAATCTTTGTTCCAGTGCAATTCTTGTTTATTATCCTTGACAGGAATGAAAAAATCAACTAATAAAACGTTCCCAAAAAGATAAATTGAATCTTTAAGACCAAGCATGCTCACATTTACACAGGGTTAAGGCCCACAAACAAAAATGGAACAAGAAATCATAAAAAGGCCTATGCATCAAGTGTGTGTATATATATATATGCACACACATATGTAACAAGAGTTGTAGGGTATTATCATCATAGTTAAGCAACCCACTCTAGCAAACAAATTGATAGTAAACACGAATACCTAGTTTGAGCACAAAAGAGATGAATAGGTTTAAGGAAGATGGATACCCAACTTGAGCTTGAAAAAGATTTGGGTAAAAAGTGTAAACGAATCATATGCTTAATACGGTGATACCTGAGAAGATGAAGATATTTAAGAGCGTGGTATGTGTTGGGTTTTATTTACCCTGAATTTCTTACCATAAATAGGTTTTCCTTTTAGGAAAAGGTTTTGGATTGGCTAGTCCTTTTCTTGTAGGAAAAGGTTTAGGACTCTATAAATAGAGGTTTGTTCCTTCTAACTTAATCAGCATTCACAATGTAGTCTTAAGGGTTTTGAGAGTTTTGGTTAGAGGGAGAATTTGTGGGTCACAAGCTTGATACGTTATCACTTGTGTGAACCTCCCATGTATTCCGAGTGAATTGGTTGAGGTTATTTCTCTCTATATTTTGTACTCTCATATTTATAGTGGATTGCTCATCTTCTTTGTGGACGTCGGTCGATTGACCGAACCACATTAAATCTGTCTCTTTTTGTATATTTTTCATTTGTCTTCTTACTCATGGTTTTTAGAGGTTTGCTTTGCTAGCTTCCGTGTTACACCTGCTTATTTCGGTCCTAACAGTATGAAATTAAGGAAATATTACGTCTATTGTTTGTTTGGAATGTTAAAGAAGAAGATCGATGATTCTAGAACATGATATATCAGTATGAAATTATCAGAATAACCTTGGTCGTCCTCCTCTTCATATTTCTATCTAATAGAAATAGAAATTATTATATATAAAATGGTTTATGAGCATCAAAAAGCAATTACAAACTTCATAAAAATTTAGGATATAATCAAACTTCATCTTAACATTCTTATTTTGTGCAATTAATAGCAACATAATTCTTAGAGAGAACTAACCATGGTAATTTTCTTAGTGCAAAGGAATATATCAAAAAATAAATAAATGAGCTCACAGAATTTTGTGAGTGTAGGTTTGAATGCATGAGATTTTTGCAGAGTGAACCGAAGAAGATGAGCCCTCGTTCCATTAGTCATCAATCCGAACAATTCAATTTCAATCTCGGTCGAAAGGGCATAATCACTATAGACCTAACAATTGTCTATCTTCTATAGAAGGAATCTTGAAAGAGTTAAACAGAGAGAATACAGAGCTAGATTACAAAGTAATTGAATACACATTACCATGTTTGTTAAGTCATGGATAGCCTATTGTTGATAAACTATTTACTGGACCAGACAATAATTTATTATTTCTTAGATATAAATCTGCAACTATATAATTTATTTTTGCATATATGTGTGAGGACAACATAAATCTTTACATCATCAATTATAAAAAAAAATTGAGGGAAAGAATTAGACAGAATAATAACGATGTCAAACCTATATTTTAGTGGTAAAATTTAAAAGTTCGAAAAGAACTGGAAGAAATTTGTTGCAAAATTGAAAGAAGAACATACCTGGAATTCGTTGTTGTTGGAGTTGGAGTTGGAGCAAGAGAAATGGAAGAACTGATTCTTGTGTTGAAAATATTGCATCTATTTTGTGCTAAAGAGGAAGATGGAGTGTTCTAGAATTATGGAGAGAATGTATTTGTCAGGTTAAATTTACTATTTTACCCTTGGTCATCCTTGGTCTTCACCTTTCTATATAATAGAAATATATGATGATTTGTTCTTTTTGAACATGAATTTTATGAATTGTGCTAAATAATATATTTTATTTGTAGAAGTAAATTGGTGTATAGAAGAAGAAATTTGGAGCTAAAGGAATTAACGATAGAGAATTATAGAAGGAAATCAAAAAAACAGCTTAATGGATTAAATTAAATATTATATTATATTTATATATATAATCAAACATAGCAGATAACAAAGAATACCTGTGAGATGAAGCTGTGACATGTGGCAGCAAGTGGAAGCACTGTTGATGTGAGGCGGTCGGACAGTTTTCGCGCCTGCAATTCCAATCTTTTTTTATTTTGGATTCTTAATTTCTTTTGGACTCAGTTATTTTATTGAAGACTTTTATCTATATAAATATGCCATAGAAATAATTAGTAGGGAGCAAAATATATTTTGAAAGAGGAATATACTATGGGGCAAGATACTGTGAAAGGAAAAGTTATCAATATTTTATAGGGTTCTTTTCTTTTCCTTCTTTTCTTAGACATTAGTAGTTAAAGACCCTTGTTCTGGGCTGTGACTATGGGTAATTATTGAACATCGATTGTTTTGAATTAATGTTGGTTATCGCTTAATTTTTTTTTGTATTCTTGTTTTAGTATTTCATGATTGATCACCATAGAGATAAATATATTGTCTATTCTTAGACTCGGGAGACGAAGAGGTAGATAGACCAAAGAATACAAAGAGTTTGATCTATCCTGCATATCACTTGATTAGATTCGTGTTTAGGATTGACACCCTGACGAACACCAAACTTGGTTACAAAACAAGATGAAATATAAATGCTCGCCAATTGAGTCTGCCTATCCCCGCTCAACGATATAGTTAGACAATAAATTGGAGTAAACGATTAGAGGTCGGAAGACCGTGATCATAAAATCAACTTTGTAAATAAGTAATTTGATTACCGTAGTTAATTCTTGCATGAGATGTGAAACATGAAACTTTAAGTATGTTGCAGCCCTGGAATTTTCCAACCATTGTAAGTAATTTTATTATTCCATTCTTACATTCTTATTAGTTAAACACTTTTGGAACTCTTAAATAAATAATTAGACTAGTATAATTTAGTAAAATAGTTAATTGACAAGTTCTTTGGGTTCGATGATCCTGCTTTTTTAGGACCACTATATTACTTGCGCGACCACGTACACTTGTGTGTGCATTTGGGAGTAACAGTGTTTTCAATGAACTTTGATCTTGTGTTTTGAACTTTTAAGAATGATTTCTAACTCGTTTTCTGATAAAATTTCGTGTGTGAGTTCCTAAATCTTTGGGTATCATATTTTTCTATAGAATTTTCAGGATTACCTTTGCCCTCGAGTTTGACTTTTTGGGTCGATTTGGACCCAATTTATAAAATTAGCATTATGGGTGTCATTGTTCATGTTTTCTTATGGGGATCCTATATTTGTTTGTCTCGTGTGGATTCAGAGGCTCGGCGTAAAACAAAGGTTCAAGTCCCAATTTGATTTTTCCACTCTAAGGTAAGTTAACCTTTTTTATTCTTTTACAAAGTGTGTTAAATCTTGTTTGATGTGTCTTAGTGATTGATAGTAATAGGGAATGATGAAGGTATACATGTAGACTCATTAACGAGTAAACACCCGAATTTTGAATTCAAGTGTGTGGGGTTAATTGCACTTTGTGATCTATTATTGTGTAGTATGCCCATGAGTGGCCTTTGATGACTATAATGATTCCTTATTGATGATATGCCCATGATTGTTGCGGTTGATTAATTGATGCAAAACTTCTCATTCTCTCATCATGTTTATTTGCATTAGTACTGAAACTCTGTTATGAGATGACACTGTGTTAAAAATTATGAAAAAGAAATACAAAGAGGATATGATTTCGAGGAATGTGCCCCACGATGTGAGCGGATATGATGTGATTTCAAGGGATGTGCCCCACGCCATGGGTGGATATGATATGATTTCGAGGGACGTTCCTTGTGCCGAGGACGGATGCATGGATTGGTATTTCCCTCGCAGGTCCTGAGTGACCATTGAGCAGCGGTGTGTATCGATAGGGCATACATGCATTATTCTCTATTCTCTATGACATTTGCATTACATTGCACTTCATTATCATTGTATCTATGTAAGAATTGCTATTATTGTGGTTATTGAATCGGAAAAGTTGTAATGGTACTGTTGGGAGTCTGATGGTGTAACTTATTTGTCTTGTTATTCGTATTGTGTATGCCCTATGTGTTGGGAAAGGCAAGCACAAAATAAATGTGCACGACAGGGCGATAGCGGAAGAAAATCCAAGTCAAAACTTTCCCTTCTATTTGAACCAAGAGAAGACAAAATAATGCAAGAATAAAACTATTTGGGTAGCAAACAAAGCAACCAAGCAAGAAAATAAATCAACACACGAGACACCAAAGTTTAATGTGGAAAACCTCTTCGGTGTGAAGAGTAAAAATCACAAGGTCAAAGCTCCACTATAATCAACAAGAGTTATAAAAGTGTTCTCCAAAATGGTCACCAACAAAGTGCCAACCAATAAGCAACACAACTACAAGATAGCACCAAAAGCTAGAGAAACAAAAGGAGCTAAAATACCCAAATCACAGCTACTGTTCACGAGCTAAAATATAGAGCTACAGGACTCCAAATCACCCTATCTTAGTTCCCAATCAAAGATTAAGTTGAAAGGAACAAGCTGTCCAAAAATCAGCTCAATCGGATAAGAAAGGGAGCGGGAATCACGATCTGAAATTTGTTGCAAGGGTTTGTGCGAAAATCTGCACCATCTCACTTTTCTCTCTATATGGCTGCTCTCATAATCTTGTGATTCTATTCAAATAAGACCTAAAAGAAAGTCTTGCATATGCACCATAATATTGGGCTTATGGGAAAAAGTGGGCTAGACAAATTTGAGCTAAATTTATCCACAAAGGAAAGGAAGGAAGACCCAAAACCTTGGACTTTTATTTATCCACATAGGAAGGGAAAAAGGCCCAAAATCCAACACTATGTTGCTATTAAAATTACTAAGATGGAATGGATTCTGATATTTGTACAGGTTCTAGTATTTTATAGGTTCAGATGGTGTGTCGAGGTAGAGGGTGTTCGACACCACTTTGGTTATGGTCATAGTACATGTTGTTGTTTTGGTACTCACTCCCTTGTTTTTCTACACTTGTGTAGGCTACAAACCCCATTCATCCTAATCATCCTCTTGCATCAGTGCCTGAGGCTTACACTTGGGAATACGTGAGGTAGTTGTTAGTTGTGCCAACACACTCGACATACTCTTATATTATGTCTTTATTTTATTCTAGTACTAGAGACATTCAAACTCATTCTTTCATTGAATATGTATTACTATCTAGTACCTTGTAGACGTGATACCAGGTTTTGGGGAATGTTTTGTTTATACAATAGATTTTGCGATCTTCTTAGTTCTTTGTTTTCTCTCTTATTTTTATTTTTTATCCTTGTAGAAGGTTGTTAGGTTGACCTGTTTTGGTGGGATAAGACAACTTCCACTACACCAAATTTTTGGATCTTGATAAAAAGTCAATTTACGCCTTTTATCTTTCGCAACGCCTTTAAATATTTCAAATTTGATCAAATATATAATCTAGGTGAACATACAACTTCGTAGACACCCATTTGGCCAGAGAATCACATTAGAAACTCAACCCCAAAACCCGATGACAAATTTGGAAATTTCTTTTAAATTGGTTCACCCATAAGTTGGGGAACTCTCACGGGGAAAATGAGTCATTAATTGGCCTCCAAATCAAAACAATTATATAAATCTCAATTTCGGGTACACCCCCCCTTCCAATCCCAAACACAATTAAATCACTTTTAAAACAATGAAAGAGCGGAGAAATCATAAATAAAAGTTTAGATCTTTACCCTCACAATGAAATCTCAAAATCCCTTTCAAAATCTCTCAAATCGAGCTATGGGTGTAAGGTCACATTAGTGAAACATGTTCTCCAATATATTCCCATTCATATTATTTTAGAATCTCCCCTCCCAAAACTACTATTGAGTATATTAAAAGCTTGACTGTAGATTTCTTTTGGGGTTGGGACAAAGAAAGGAAAGAAATATCATTGGGCTCCATGGGAAACACTTAGTTATCCTTATAAGGAAGGTGGCATAGGGGTAAGGGAGCTTTCAGATGTTTGCATATCCCTCCAATATAAGCAATGGTGGAATTTCAGGACTAAAAGGTCATTGTGGGGGTAATTCTTAAGAGCAAAATATTGTCAAATGTCTAATCTTGTTGGTAAAAAGGGGAAAACAGGTCAGTGTATGGAAGTATATGATGAGAAACAAACATCTTATGGAGGCTCATATCAAGTGGAAAATTCATTTAGGAGTTGTCACTACTTTTGGTTTGATGACTGGTTGGGCAATGGGGCTTTAGTAAACTACAGAACTGACAATTCTAGGCCTAACATCATAAAAGTTTTTGTGAATGGTCACTGGAATGAGACAATGGTAAGAAAACATGTTCACCCTCTTTTGGTACCAAAGATTCTGAATATATACTACTTTTCAGTATTAGGAAGAGGTTCTGAATGAGGCAATTTGGGAACTAAATGATAATGGAGTATTCACTTGTTCTTACAGAAGAAAATCAAGTCAAAACTTAGCACCAACACTAAGCATAAGAACATTCCTTGGATGGAGTGAATTCTGATTTTTGTACAGGTTCTAGTATTTTGGAGGTTCAGATGGTGTGTCGGGGTTGAGGGTGTTCCACACCACTTTGTTTAGGGTCATAGTAAATGTTGTTGGTTTGGTACTCACTCCCTAGCTTTTCTACACTTGTGTAGGCTATAAACCTGATTCATCTGATTCGTTCTGATCATCCTCCCGCATCACTGTCTAGGCTTACACTTGGGAGTACGTG